TTATCAGAATAACCTGTGTTTTTTTTATTAACCTGGTTATTGAAATAATTACCTGGTAATTTCGGGTACCCCGCAAAAAAGGCGGTAGAGGGCTTACTAGGTAAGGCCTTTGCCAAGGCAAAGGGCAAAGCCAAAGCAAAGGCCAAAGCCAAGGCAGTGGCAAAGACCAAGTCCAAGCCGGAGAAGGTTGGCCGCAGGGCAGCTAAGGCAGCCGCTGGTGATGATGAGGGTGCAGCTAGCTCTCTGTCCAAGCACCCCAAACAAAGGTATGTTTGGATTGGGGACAGGTGGCTGTACGAGATCTTGCCAGGGCAAGTGCTGGGATGCCCATCGTGCCGCTACATATTCAACGGGTGCACTATGTGTGACAAGCCGAACTATCGAGGCAAGACCGCTGCCAAGATGCTGGAAGACGAAGACTACCAGTATGGCTTGACTTGGCTCGATGAGAAGGGTGTTGACATCATAGATCCCCCAGCTGAGGAGATTGAGAATGTGCCCGCAGCCCCTAAGAAGAAGGGTAGGAAGTCCAAGGCGGATGTGTGAGAAATGATTTTCACGGTCATGCAGGGTCAGCTCTTCTACCCAGGATTCTTGTTTGCAACTGGTTGTGCAAATCCAAACATTGTCAAATAGGATGTTTATCATAAGATCCTTACCGAATTGGCTCATCGTGTGCATCATTTTCCCCTTGTACATTCGTATCTTCAAAGTTTGTTTTCTGCTCTGCTCCCAAGATCCCGAAGTCTACCATCCCCACCTGCCTTCGCGGCCCAGGAGCGCCAACCTCGCGCCAAGCGATGATGCAGTGATATCAGGATGTAGCCTGGCGCCGGCTACAGCTTTGCTGTGGTTCAGATTCCAGATGCTTTACAAGTCTGGATACCGCGCATTTTGAAGTAGGATGGATGGCAGGGAAATCCTTGTCTCCGAATGGGGTAGAAAAGGGTTCAGAAAGTCTGTGCAATTGGGGTGGCCATGCGGTCTGGTAAACCTGTAGAATGCCTGAATTTACTGGAGAAGCCCTATATAACAACCATGTACACCAGCATACCACCCTAAGCAACCTTGCTACAGCTTT